CCCTGGAGAACAAAACGGTGGCTGTTGCATTTTTTTATGTCACGCGATATTTGCGCAGCTATGTATACATTTTCAGGAAAAAATACACTTACATTAATTTTAGTGACCACAAACACAATATCATACCCAATTTGTTGGTGAAATATAAAAGAGGATGTTCCGTTGAGTAAATAGATACCAAACATGTTAAGATTTTAAATTGTGCAAGCCTGTGAAATGGCAACAAACTACAGTACTTAAAACTGTCCATAGGTGAAAGCCTTTACAGGTTATCAGTTTAGATTTAATTGTTAATCATGACCCTAGAATTATTGGTCTCGCTTTATCAGAAGCATCACATGTTTAAACAGGGGGATAAGAATGGGAGACTATTGGCCTGGCTAGTGACTTACACCCCTCGGCATTTGCCTGGGTATTTGAATACTATAGATTTCCTGGTCCTTTCCCCCTCACAAAGAGCTAAGCTGGAGGGGCCAATGCTCTGGACGAGATCCAGCTGGCTATTGACAGCCTTCAGTCTGGGGAAACCCTGGATCCAGATGGGTTCCAGGTGGAATTTTACAAAGCAAATGCTGACCAACTGTCTCCCTGGCTTTATCATCTCTTGACCAATTTGTTGGACTTGGAGGACCTGCCTCAGTTTAAGCTGCAAATGGTTATTTTAAAGCCCGTAAAAGATCTGACACAGTGCTCATCCTATCGCCCTATTTCTCTCTTAAATACTGATGCCAAGATTTTTGCCAATGTTTTGGCAAGGCTTTGGAGGTTTAGCAAGGTTATTTCCACCCTAGTCCATAATGATAAAACCAGTTTTATGCCCAGTAAGGGAACTGACATAGATATTCAGAGATTGCTTACCAACATTTCCATTTCAGCTTCTCAGGATAGCTTGGGAGACGTGCTGTCCCTAGATGCCAAAAAAGGCATTTGATTCTGTCGAGTAGGAGTATTTGTGGGAGGTTCTCTCCCGATTCAGTTTTGGTCCTACCTACAGTTTATCTTGTGCATTCACAGTTTACATAAGTTGCCTTCGGCAAGAGTTTGCACCAGCAACACCTTATCCCCCTCCTTTAGCTTTTCACAGTGGAACTCGTCAGGGCTGCCCTCTTTCACCGGGCTTATTAGATCGTCTGAGATGATACAAGGACTGTCAGTGGGTGATTTGGAAGAATGCAAATCTATGTATACAGACGATACTCTGCTGTATCTGGTGATTGCACCTCTTCCCTACTGGAGGCTCTGGAAGCTATAGAGACTTCTGGCCTCTATTCCGGTATCTGCATTAACTAGGATAGGTCACTGTTGTTCCCCCTCACCCTGGTCACCTCCCATTCTGTTTCCTTTTCCCCCATCAAAAGGTGTCTAAATTCAAATAAATGGGTGTGGAGGTGCAACATAACTCTGCATGTTAACCTTTTAAAAAATTATTTTTTTTTGCTTAAATTTATTTATGTTTTTAGACAAACACTTACCCCTATCACAAAGTCCTTTTTTTCGTTGCTTGGATAATATTGTTTCTCATTTCTCTGGGCTGGGAGGACATCCAGACTTTCAAAGTTGACCTTGCACTTTCCTGTCAGTCGTGGAGACCTGGTGCTCCCTAATTTTTTGCTGTACTATTGGGCGGCCGTACTGGTTACAGTGTGGTGGTGATTCTATCAGCCCCAAGACAACGCGGTGGTAATCCTGGAAACTGCACTGCTGGGCTCTTATGCTGAACTTAGTAACCTAGAATATAGAACCTTGTGATTACCACTGCAATGCAGACAACTCTACGGGTTTGGTGCCAGGCTAGAGCTCAGTATGGCTCGGAAAATACTTACTCTCTGTATAGCCTGCTGTGGGGCAACCCCTCCCCCTTCCTTATTTGATCACTGTGCTGGATCCTGCCATATGGGTAGACACAGAATTAAGCTATTGAGACATATAATACCATAGGGCTCCCTTCTGTCCATTAATGAGCTTAGGTAAATGTTTAGATTGCCCAATCAAATGGTCTTTAGATTTTTACAGTTGAGGCTATTGGTTGCTACTCAATTTCCTCTCCCACCCACTATGAAAACCATAGAGAGCTTGTTGTTGGTGGAGGATCTCCCTGAACCTTTATCCTCTCTATACTCCCAACTCTACAAATTATCCACCCCTAGAATGGTTTGCCTATATGACAAATGACATTTAGATCTCCCATCTCTTTCAGAGGATGATTGGGAAGATTGTCTTTTGCAATATCTTCCTACTATGATGAGGTGGTGGTGAATATGGATGAAGTAAGTGTTTTGCACACATACCATGCATGGTAAATAGTGTGGAGGATGATCACTTCTAGGTCAGAATGGGGGATTGTGTTAAGAGTTTCACTCCACTGAACAACCTAGGTTATGAGATCTGGTCATTCATGTACGAAAGGTAACACAACCAACACAAAAGGTGCCAAAAACAATGCCACATGTGGACATAAAAACTAATATAAATGAGCAGAACATGGACATAGAAACACTATTATTATTATTAGATTTGATTTGACAAAGACAAGCAAATGTACCAGACTGGTTCTTTTTTTTGTCAGTGAAGGGATAACAAAAAAAATATTTAAAATGTAACATCTAAGACATCTAATCTCTTTGTCAGTGTTAAACTTTGAAAATGCCAGCGTGACCTCAGTTGGGATAATTGACACCCGAGGACAAATTGCACGATCTTGGAAAGTGTATTTCTGTGTCATATATTATTCAGCCTGCTTTTTTGATACACTGTGCTTTGGTGAATTATGTATTATCAGTAATACTATTTTGCATTTTGTGAGTGTTAAGTTATTGTTAAAGAGTTCTATATGATAGAGAAATAAGAAATAGCAAATATAATATTGACTTTTAGACCGTGCTGGCTTAGGAAGAAGTTTTTGTAAGTATGTATTCTGGTCATAATACAGTACATTGTATAATGATGCTGTAACTCTGCTCTGGGTGGCCAGTCTTAGTGTTCTGGCTGAACTGTAGCCAGTTGAGCTGCAATCTGTCTATCTAAGCAGATTTTCCCTAAACCTGTTGGTTGATTACTCCTGCCTGTTGTTGGACGAATTTTCTAGAACATAGTGAGAGAGGATCAACCACTGGGGTTTTGAAGGTTGGAGAGAAAATATATATTTTGGGAAGAGCTGGTCAGAGACTCTCCCTTCCCTGGCTTTTTCCCCTGGGAGAAGGCATGTGTATGTTCAACATAACCTACTCAGCGGATGCTATGTGCTGAGGTCTGAGAGATACTACCTGTTGAAGCTGGGCTGGAGAAGGAAACCCTCATGGAAGAAATTTGCAGGGGAGCTGGGTAGAAGCTGCTACCTGAATATTGTGAGTAGGACCTTTTTCCTACAGCTCCATGTACTGAAGTACTCATTGAGGGCTATATGGGGGTGCTAATTAAGGACTGTGACTACTTGCATAGTGTCAAAGATTTACTTGGTTGTCTCCTCTCCATCAGCATTACTTTTGAGGCTGCTACTAAAGGGCCTAATACTGCTGGGATAATATTTTTTTTAGGAAACTGTCCTCCAAGTTTCATATAAGTAGGTATTCTGCATCCTCAACCCCTCCTCTCTGCATTTTTGTTCAAGACCTGCAATAAATCTTAGAAAGACCCTTAGATTGGAGCAATGAGTTTGTTGGTATGCTTCTAGGACTGGAAACAGGGCAGTCTGCATCTGAACAGGTAAGGGGGGCCCAGTTAATTTTCAGCAGCTCCTTCAGGGGTTAATGCTACATATCATGGCATGTTGTTTCTATCATATATGTTTGCAGTACTGTATGTAACTGTACTCCTTCTTTTCCCTGAAAATTCAGGGACTCACTGACTGTGTGAGAGATCCTAGAGTCTGTGGGCTGCTCCCACCTGGTGCTTGAGAGTCAGCCGAGAGTGCAGGAAAGAAAGGGGGTACTGGCTGGTATCCTAGAGAGCCTAGGCCAACTTGTTCTATGCTAAAAGGACTATCCTGAGATTATTGGAACATGTTTGTGCCTTTTATCTGCTTCAACTAAGCCAAGTCTCCTGGCCCCTACAAGGATACAAAGTGCTGCAGAAGAAGAAAGTGTTGTACATAGTTCTTTTTGGAGCATCCCACTTTTCTCTAATCCCTTTTCTAATTCACACCCCAAACAATAAAACATCAAAAAGAACATTCCCTAGACTGCTCATTGAGCCAAAGAGTGACTGTAATCATGTGCCCGTGTGTGGGGCAGAAGACGATAAAAGACCCTAGAAACCTATCTAACAGCTGGCTCCTTCGGTGGGTACTGCTACATATAGAGGAAGCCTGCGATCTGTATTGATTATTTGGGAAAGATCCCACATGTTCTTTGAGGTCATGGTGTTCTTGTATGTAGTTTATGTTAATTGTGCTGATCATGATGGAGGTGTTCTGAGCAACCAAGAATCTTGCACTTGTGGAATGGGAGTTAATGTTTGGATTGGATCCTTGCAGTTCATCTAGGGTGAATGTACAATGTACAGTTATTGCTCACAGATTATTATATACTGTATGTGGACTTTTACTTTTTCACCCCTTACTTTTCACAGACATGGTATTTTGTGTATATTTTGTGTTGTTCACTCTAGATATATACAATAATTGTGTTATACTTTAAAGTTGCACTCGCTTTGTTTTTTTTATGCATAGATTTGTTATCAACAAATTTTGTGCTATCTGCTTTTTCAGTCATCCAATAGATTATGCGAGCGCATGAATTTTTAGTTTTTTGGATTTTTTTATGCTTATAATGAATGAATGCAGGGTCCGGGGAGTCAGGATATAGTGAATTCAGGATCAGGGGAGACCGGATATAGTGAATGCAGGGTCTGAAGAGCCCGGATATAGTGAATGCAGAGTCTGGGGAGACCGGATATAGTGAATGCAGGGTCCGGGGAGACCGGATATAGTGAATGCAGGGTCTGGGGAGACCGGATATAGAGAATGCAGGGTCTGGGGAGACCGGATATAGTGAATGCAGGGTCTGGGGAGACCGGATATAGAGAATGCAGGGTCTAGGGAGACCGGATATAGTGAATGCAGGGCCTGGGGAGACCGGATATAGTGAATGTAGGGTCCTGGGAGACCAGATATAGTGAATGCAGGGTCCGGGGAGACTAGATATAGTGAATGCAGGGTCCGGGGGGACCAGATATAGTGAATACAGGGTCTGGGTAGCTTGGATATAGTGAATGCTGGATCCGGGGAGACCGAATATAGTGAATGCAGGGTCCGAGGAGACCAGATATAGTGAATGCAGGGTCTGGGAAGACCGGATATAGTGAATGCAGGGTCTGGGGAGACCAGATATAGTGAATGCAGGGTCTGGGAAGACCGGATATAGTGAATGCAGGGCCTGGGGAGACAGGATATAGTGAATGCAGGGTCTGGGGAAACCGGATATAGTGAATGCAGGATCCAGGGAGACTGGATATAATGAATGCAGCATCCAGGGAGACTGGATATAGTGAATGCAGGGTCTGAGAAGACCGGATATAGTGAATGCAGGGTCTGGGGAGACCGGATATAGTGAATGCAGGGTCTGAGAAGACCGGATATAGTGAATGCAGGGTCCGGGGAGACCGGATATAGTGAATGCAGGGTCCGGGGAGACTAGATATAGTGAATGCAGGGCCTGGGGAGACCGGATATAGTGAATGCAGGGTCTGGGAGACCAGGTATAGTGAATGCAGGGTCCGGGGAGACCAGATATAGTGAATGCAGGGTCCGCGGAGACCAGATATAGTGAATGCAGGGTCCGGGGAGACCAGGTATAGTGAATGCAGGGTCCGGAGAGACCAGGTATAGTGAATGCAGGGTCCGGGGAGACCGGATATAGTGAATGCAGGGTCCGGGAAGACCAGGTATAGTGAATGCAGGGTCCGGGGAGACCAGATATAGTGAATGCAGGGTCAGGGGAGACCAGGTATAGTGAATGCAGGGTCCGGGGAGACCAGGTATAGTGAATGCAGGGTCCGGGGAGACCAGATATAGTGAATGCAGGGCCTGGGGAGACCAGGTATAGTGAATGCAGGGTCCGGGGAGACCAGGTATAGTGAATGCAGGGTCCGGGGAGACCAGATATAGTGAATGCATGCGTACTTTAGGAATGATTACTTGTTACAAAGATTCAGCAATATAGTTTACATTGCCTGTAGGAAAACAAATGTCTGCATATTTTAGCCATCACTGATAACCTGCATTGCGTTGACACCTCCGGGTGCACCACTCGTTGACTGCAATGACATCCATTGGAAGAGCCCCAACCTTAAATCACATAGGGACATGGCAAAGGTATTTTACATAGATAAGCTCCTTGGTGCCAATGCGAGGTTAATTAGCTGTCTTTTACTAGAAAACTCAAATTCTCTCTGTATTATTAGACCTTGACATTTCACTGCCGGCAGTGTAGCTCCCCCTATTCTGTGGTCTGTGAGTGTTGCCTAGCGACAGATGCCTCAAATATCACTGCAGTGTATACTTTAATCCTCAATCCTTCAAGATTTTAAACCGAAACGATTATTAGGTGCAAGTAGCCGAGTGATGTAAAAGGTCCCTTCCAATGTGAGCTTTTACTGCTGGAGAAAAAAGAAAACAACATTTTTTTTCCTAGTGCACCATATTGGGCTGAAGTGGACAATGGGGGAGATTTTTGCAGAGATAAGCTTAGTGTGCTCTAATAATTATGATTTATTTAGGATCATGTGACAGTAGTGTGTGTGCCGTGCAATATTTAGCAACATTTTACATTTACACTGATATGGTACGGAATTTGCAGCATTTTCAACGCATCAGAATCGCACCCCATTCATGCAAATCTCTGCGGGTGTGTATGTGTAACAACATCTCGAAAGCGGTCCACAAAATGCGGTGCGATGTGCAGAATCGGATTGCATAGGTGTGAATACCCATGCGATCCGATTCTAGTGCGGACCATAAAAAGGGTCCTGCACCTTTTTAGGTGTGGGTACAGTGCGATTAGAGCCATACAAAATGTTTGGCTCCAATCACGCCACATACAAATCACATGTGATTTGCACAGGAATGCAGTGCAGTTCCTGTGCGAATTACATGCAATGTACCGTACCACATATATGTGAACCCAGGCTGAAAGCAGGGGCGTCCCTAGGCAGGTACGGTGGGAGTGCGCAGCACCGAGTGACACCTACCGCACAGGGTGACACCGGGGCCGGACCACGAAAAGGTAAAGGTTGTAAAGGAAGTCGACGATCCCCGCAGGATGGATCGGATCTCGGATTGGGGAGCATAATTGATCAGACTCCGATCCATTATGCTCCCCAATCCGCAGATCCAATCCTTCCTGCGGGGATTGTCGGCATGCAACCTATACAGGGTGACACCGGACCCGCTCCACGAAAAGGTAAGTTGTAAAGAAAGCCGACGATCACCGCAGGACAGATCCGATCTGCGGATTGGGGAGCATAGTGGATCGGACTCCGATCCATTATGCTCAATCCCCAGATCCGATCCATCCTGCGGGGATCGTTAGCATGCAACCTATATGGGGCGACACCGGACCCACTCCACAAAAAGGTAAGTTGTAAAGCAAGCCAACGATACCCGCAGGATGGATCGGATCTGCGGATTGAGCATAATGGATCAGTGTCCAAAACATTATGCTCAATCTGCAGATCTGATCCATTCTGCGGGGATCGTCGGAGGGGGTGTCACCAAGTTTTATCGCACCAACCCTAGGGACGCCCCTGGCTGAAAGTGAACCATTAACAGAAGATTAATATTGTGGGAGTCATCGCTGCTCAGTTATTTTTAACTCGTTGATGGCCTCAGCTGTAAAATATCGGTACGTTGCTCATGCCAGGAGGGTGTCAGTTAACCACCTGCACTCTGGGCCAATTATGACATTTCTCACATACATGTAAAATCAGCATTATTTGCTGGATAATCACTTAGAACCCCCATGATATAGTTTTGAAAGCAGATGCCTTGGACAATAAAATGGTGGTTGTTGCAATTTTTATGCTGGACGATACTTGAGCAACCATTTATCAAACCAAATTTTCAGGAAAAAATACACTTGCATATAATTCCCATTTTGTTGGTTAAAAAAAAGATGATTTTGCTCCAAATAAATAGATAGATGAAAATTTAAAATTTTGCGCACTTGTGAAATGGCAATAAACGACGGTCCCCAAAAATCTACATAGGCAATGCTTTCAATGCCATTACAAGTCACCAGTTCAGAGTTAACAGGGAGCTCTTGTGCTACAGTTACTGCTCTCACTGTGATGTATGTGGTGATACTTCACATGTGTGATGCAAGCACCATTTACATACAGTATGTGTGCGGGACCTATATGCATGTTTTGCATTGGTATGGGGGGGGGGGCCTTTAAGTTTTACAAAAATTGTATTATTTTATTTTATTTTACACTTTTTTAAAATTAAAATGTATTGCTATCACAAGGGATGGACAACATCCTTTGTGGTAGCTTGAGCAGAGAAATGTTCTCTTTTTTGGGAGATCAGGGGTCTAAGAAAACCCCTGATCCCTCCTCTGCCCTCCAAGACAGCTGATAAAACACAGATCAGATTGATCAGCTGCCTCCCCAGCAAGCAGTGGCCAGGTGAACAAAGAACAAAAACCAGAAGTGATAAATCCTCAACACTTCTAGCTTCATTTGTCACAGAGGAGGAGGAGGAGGAGGAATGGATGTTTCTCCTTCTCCTCTGTGCTTGGCAAACCAACAGGTTGCAGCAGTCCTAAGCTCCCAATTGGGGCGAGAGAGCCCTTGACCAGTGGCAGGCCCATTCTGAACCCTGTAGAGCAGCTCAGATCACTTTTACAGTAAGCCATGGTTCACACAGGATCTGACTTTGAATTCATGTGACTTCAAGTGTGACTTTCAAAGCCACATATCAGTGCGACTTCAGGTGCTACTTGGATGACATCTGTGTGACTTCATGCACAGATGTCTATGCGAGTCACACCTGAAATCACAAAAACTATTGTAGGAACCTTTTCTTCAAATCGGTGCAGCATCGCAAAGTCGGAGTTACATCTATTTTATCGGTTCCATTGCTGATAGTGTGCGACTTGTCATATGATTTGAACTGTCATGACAAGTCACACCAGTATGAACCAGGGCTAAAGCCAATTGCCAGCTGGTATAGCCACTTTTTGTCAAGGATGTATATACGCTGGACAAGACGTCCTGGTTCACACCAATGCATTTTTTAGTTCTTTTTTGCAGAAACGCACTACAGTCCATTTAACATGGTTTCCTATGGGACATAGTTCACATCTATGCTTTTTTGAGCTGCTGTATTTTTGCAAAGGGTCAAGGAGTTTTTTAAATGCAAAAAAGCAGTGTTTTTGCTACAATAGAGTTTAATGGAGAAGCTGCTGAAATACATGTAGTGCATTTTTTGCCCTGTTTTGTGTTTTTTTTACTGCCCAGCACAAAAAAAAACTATGCAAAACGTGGTAAAAATGCAGCAAAAACGGGCATGTAAAAATGCAAAGCACAGTGCAAAAAGCATTATAAAATGGATCAAAAGCAAACTGCATAGGTGTGAACCAAGCCGAAGTGGTTAAAGTCTTGTTAATTTCAGCTGCAGAAGTCTTTGGAGATTGCTTAGATCTCCAGCATTCCGAATGAGGCCCTGAATTGATCAACAAATTTGAGTGGTGACAAATCATGTGATCAACATGACTAATGAATCATAGGGATCATCAAAAGTTTGCACCCAGCAACAAACTTTCCTATGCCTTGTTATGTTTTAGGCGCTTCTCTTTGCTCACAGCAACGTCAGCTTACAGGAGAAAAGGAAGACTGACAGGCAATGAACAGTGTAGTAGGAATCATCCATAAATTACAGCTATTGAACTTAAATTGTTACTAATCCCAGGAGCCTGCATTCACTCTATCTGATCTCCCACAGTACATACAACATGGAAGTGCAATTATTTTAGTAAATATAAACTACTAAATACCTTTTCTCATCAGCAGTTAGAGCAGTCTTGTGACTTCTATCAGTGTCCAGCAGAGCACTGGTTAAAGCTTGTAGGAGGAGTTTTATTTCTGCTCTAGGAGGATACAGAACCCCTGACCTCTGTCTGGACAGTGCTGATTGGCCCTGAGCTGATCACATCCACTCTCCAAAGAAAAAAAAACAAACCTCTGTAGCAATACACACCAAACTGAGCCTGTGCAGAGTGACTCCACACGACTGATTTTACTGTTGTGGGTTTAGTAACACTTTAAAGTGACACTAAACGCTGGTTTAAAAACATGATTCTATATAAGTATGTATTCCTAACTCAATAAAGTACATTCTGTTGCCTCCAAATCTCTAAATTCTTTTATTTTTTTTTTGTGGTCTAATTTTCTGTTAGAGGGTGGCTACATTAGTTCTCCATGACCCCACAGTATGCAGGAGTGTAGCTACCTTCACTTGCTCACTCTTGAGAAGGACTAGGGACTAGGGACTATGGACTGGGAAATGTAGTATTCATGGACCAGTGCACATGGCCATAACTAACATGTGCTACTCCTTTTTTTTCTGTGTGATCCAACTTCCTCTTGGAGGGTGGCTACATTTACCCTCCATGGTCCCACTGTATGTAGAGGCCTAGTCACCCTCTCTTGCTCACTCATGAGATGGACTAGAGACTATGGACTTTGGGCTATGGGATTTGTAGTGTGCCTACAGCGGTGCACATGACCGCAACTAGCATGCACTACTCATTTCAAACAAAAGAAAGTAAAGAGGAAAGGGAGATGTTTGGAAGCTCATGGAGGATATTACCAGGAGGAACAAAAACATAGAAATGCAGAAATAGTTTAAATCTTCTTTCCTCTGAACCTCCCTATTAACTCCCACACCCCCACCATCATAATCTTCTGGCGCCGTGGGGGTAATACGTGGCACCAGTCTATGTCTACCCTTTCTGCCCACCTAGTCTATTCATAGAAGCTGTACTACAGCTTCCATGAATGCGTTGTGATCTATGAATAGAGGATGAGTGGATAAATGAAAGGTCTGCCTCCTCCATTCATAGATTGCTTTTCATTAATCATCCACCATACAGATTCTGGGAATAGAGGAGAGATGGTAAGGGTAAGTATAGTCAGCACTCTGATGAGTGCATATGACAGGTACCTTGAAATCTCTGTGGCACTGGAAGATTTCAGCAGTAGGAGTATGGATGTTATAAAAGGATGGAAGATTTCAGCAGTAGGAGTATGGACGTTATTAAAGGATGGAAGATTTCAGCAGTAGGAGTGTGGAAGTTATTAAAGGATGGAAGAATTCAGCAGTAGGAGTGTGGAAGTTATTAAAGGATGAAAGATTTCAGCAGTAGGAGTGTGGAAGATATTAAAGATGGAAGATTTCAGCAGTAGGAGTATGGACGTTATTAAAGGATGGAAGATTTCAGCAGTAGGAGTGTGGAAGTTATTAAAGGATGGAAGATTTCAGCAGTAGGAGTGTGGAAGTTATTTAAAGGATGGAAGATTTCAGCAGTAGGAGTGTGGAAGTTATTAAAGGATGGAAGATTTCAGCAGTAGGAGTATGGAAGTTATTAAAGGATGGAAGAATTCAGCAGTAGGAGTATGGAAGTTATTAAAGGATGAAAGATTTCAGCAGTAGGAGTATGGAAGTTATTAAAGGATGGAAGATTTCAGCAGTAGGAGTGTGGAAGATATTAAAAATGGAAGATTTCAGCAGTAGGAGTATGGAAGTTATTAAAGGATGGAAGAATTCAGCAGTAGGAGTATGGATGTTATTAAAGGATGGAAGATTTCAGCAGTAGGAGTATGGATGTTATTAAAGGATGGAAGATTTCAGCAGTAGGAGTATGGAAGTTATTAAAGGATGGAAGAATTCAGCAGTAGGAGTATGGAAGTTATTAAAGGATGGAAGATTTCAGCAGTAGGAGTGTGGAAGTTATTAAAGGATGGAAGATTTCAGCAGTAGGAGTATGGAAGTTATTAAAGGATGAAAGATTTCAGCAGTAGGAGTGTGGAAGATATTAAAGATGGAAGATTTCAGCAGTAGGAGTATGGACGTTATTAAAGGATGGAAGATTTCAGCAGTAGGAGTGTGGAAGTTATTAAAGGATGGAAGATTTCAGCAGTAGGAGTGTGGAAGTTATTAAAGGATGGAAGATTTCAGCAGTAGGAGTGTGGAAGTTATTAAAGGATGGAAGATTTCAGCAGTAGGAGTGTGGAAGATATTAAAAATGGAAGATTTCAGCAGTAGGAGTATGGAAGTTATTAAAGGATGGAAGAATTCAGCAGTAGGAGTGTGGAAGATATTAAAAATGGAAGATTTCAGCAGTAGGAGTATGGACGTTATTAAAGGATGGAAGATTTCAGCAGTAGGAGTATGGAAGTTATTAAAGGATGGAAGAATTCAGCAGTAGGAGTATGGATGTTATTAAAGGATGGAAGATTTCAGCAGTAGGAGTGTGGAAGATATTAAAGATGGAAGATTTCAGCAGTAGGAGTATGGAAGTTATTAAAGGATGGAAGATTTTGGCAGTAGGAGTGTTGAAGTTATTAAAGGATGGAAGATTTCAGCAGTAGGAGTATGGAAGTTATTAAAGGATGGAAGATTTCAATTAATTCTGTATCCATCAGCACAAGTGACACATTGCATTCACTGTAAGTAATGTCCCTTGTGCTGACCTTTTTTGACTAAATTTAGGTTTGAAGTAGAGTCATGCCGAATTTCTTGAGAACTAAAATATACACAGCTGCCTATCGACCATAGAGTACTGACATATATATTAAATTCTAGACATATGGGGTGTACTTATACTCAGAATAAATTGGAAGAAATCATTTAGTGAAAATATTTCAAACTATATTAAGTATCCATAAAACATGGTAAAACTGATTTTTAGTATATTTTTGTCAATTTTCCTGTTTAGTGGAGAAAATATTTTCAAGGTATTTTAAAAACAAATTGTTAGTGAATGCCCTATCCCTTCCTCTTGTTCAGATGTCCACCTGATAAGACAGACTGAACCCCTAATCACATGGACATGCTCAGTTTGGTGTGTATTGCTTTTTCTTGGAAGAGTGCATGTGATCAGCACAGGGCCAATCAGCACTGTCGAGACACAGGTCAGGGGTTTTGCATCCTCCTAGAGCAGAAAGACAACTCCTCCTACAAGCTTTAACCAGTGCTCAGCTGAAGTCACAAGACTGCTCTAACTTCTGATAAGAAAAGGTATTTAGCAGTTTATATTTTCTAAAATAATTGCATTTCCATGTTCTGTGTACTGTGGGCAGCCAGATATAGTGAATGCAGGGTCCTGGGTTTAGCAACACTAAAAAAAATGATAGTTTATGATACATGGTGATCTAGCACACTGAGTGCCATTCTGTTAGGCTAGGTTTAGACGTACGTTTAAATCTGATGCTCCTTTGAAAAGAAATCTGTTTTTGGATCACTTTTCAGAGATGATTGATAGGTGGTGAGGAGGTGATGTGATGCCTCTTCACCACTTAATCTAATTTTTGCTGAACAAATCGCCCTTCCCCATTCACTTGAATGGGTAGCGTTGCCCTGTGATCATGTCTTTGTTGCAGCCATGAGAAGAAACCACACAACTGCGGCAGGTGACATTTCAGCTCAAGGGGGGCGTTAAAAGAACTAGTCTAAATGAGGCTTGCGGGTTTCTATCTAATGTTATGCTAAAAACAGCTTTCCATTTCAATCTGCAGTTGCTATGATGTTCTAAAACAGCTACAAAATTCAAATGTCAGTTCATTAAATATAGGGCATTCTGGAGGCATTTTGTAAACTACTGGTGTATAAACCCCTCCTCCTCTAAATCTTCTGTGTCTTTCTGAAGTCTTCAAAGGGCTAAATGTAAAATTGCAGACATCAGCTGTAATAAAAAAAATATTTTGCAGTGAAATATTTTCAAAATCATGAGAATGAAGGGATGCCAGGGCTTTTTCTTTTATTATTGCAACACTGAGAAAGCTAAGATGAAAATCATGGAGGTAGATTCTCCCATTTAAGCAGGCCATACACTGTGCCAATTTTGTCTGGTTCCATCAGAATATAGTGGACTGGCAGAGGGATTCATCCATCCTCACTGTTAGATTTTATTTGTTCAGCCTGCAGGATGCTTGAAAAAATCTTTAGTGTATGTCCAGCTTTAGTTAGTAGGAGTAAAGCCATCGAAATGTGGCCAGTTCAGCAGGAACTGTCCGAATTGCGATCCATAGAGAATAATAAAACACACATACATTTCTTCAGACTCTAAAAGTGCCTAAATCCATTTATGTGCATGGGCTGGAAGGGAGCAGCGCTGATGCGGGTGGACATTTCTTCCACCAGACATAACAGAGCATGGATCGGTGTACCGGGCTGCTGTGGGCAGCCCCAGTATCATGTGATCACTGATTGGCCAATCAACGATCACATGTACAGTAGTAAACATGATGTAATTTCCTGGCATCATTGTTTGCTACAGTGAGCTATGTGATCAATCACAAAGGTCACATGGTACAAGTCCATTCACAGCAGTCTTGTACCATGTGATAAGCTGTAACCAATCATAGCTCTCACAGAATTTCTCAATGGCTGCAAGAATGCAGCCAAACAGAGTGTGAAATTAATGCTTTTTCACAGTGTAAAAAAAAAATCCTGATCACCCCGCACAAGTAGTTCAATCAAACCATGATGACATTACTGCTAGGATAACAGTAAAAATAAATTAAACATTAATAAATAAATAAAAATTTAAAAAAAACATTTTTAACAAAAATTATAATTTTTTTCTATATACTGATTTGGGTTTTTTTTAAACCAAAAGAGGTAGCAGAATACATTTTAGCCTAAATTTATGACAAAATTTTTTTATTTACAAAATTTTATAAGAAAAATTCGTTTTTTTTTTTTTCATAATTTTAAGTTTTTTTATTTATATAGCAAAAAATTAAAAAAACAGTGGTCATCAAATACCACCAAAAGAAAACTCCATTTCTGTGAAAAAAAATTATAAAAATTTCATTTGGGTACAGTGTTGTATACCTGAGTAAATGTCATTCAAAGTGTGAGAGCTCTGAAAGCTAAAAATTGGTCTGGACTGGAAGGGGGTGAAAGTGTCCGGACTTAAAGTGGTTAATGCATTGTCTGCATTAAGGCAAAAAAGTCACAATATTTGTTTTGATCCCTCACCTCCCTTTATACATACCTGAGTCCTTTCTCGATCTAGTGCTGTGCCCGTCTGCAATGGCACTGGTCTCCCTTTGACTTCTCACAGTCTCAGAGACAGCAGCAAGGTCATTGGCTCCTACTGCTGTCAATCAATGCCTGTGAGGAGGATTCAGGGGTTGGGCGGAGCCATGATTTGTGTGTCAATGGACACACACAGCTTGGCTCAGGAGCAAGCCTGCAGGTGTGAAATCATAGAACGTGGCTTCCTGTGGTGGCACACAGAGAAGAGGAGGAGCCAAGAATGCTGGCAGGGGACCCTAGAAGAGGAGGTTCAGGGCTGCTCTGTGCAATACATTGCACAGAGCAGCTAAATATACCATGTTTATTATTTTAATAAAAAAATAAAATACCCATTACAACCATTTGAAATTGTAGTGACAATAAATTACACCATTTAGTACTGCTAATACTAACAAAAAATTATGACATTGGTGATAATGCCACAGAGAATTGGGTGGTAAAGAGTGAAATGAAGCTTGCAGCAAATACATAATAGACAGGTGTACTTGCAGATGCAGCCTACTTCTGTACCCTGAAACTTTATGTTGGAGGCAAACTAAGGCCAGATGGTACCATGAAAACACAACATTCAAACAGAAATGGTGTGGAAACCGCACCCCTCCCCCCCAGCCCAAGTGGCTAGCAGGTAAAATGAGCCTCAGCTCGATTTATCCAAGCCATGCTCCAACATGTTTTGCCCCACTCCCATAATTAAGCCAAGGGGGCGGGGTGAAACATGTTGGTGACAAGGCTTGGATGAATTGAGCTGAGGCTGTTTTTTACCTGCTAACCAGTCGAGTCAGGCAAGTTGAGTGGAGCTATCTCTTCCTACCTCTACAGCACGCTTTGGGCCTGGACGGACCTTTCTCCAGCCTGTACCCTCACTAGTCGGCAGCATCCAATTGATTGAATCTTGTTAGCCTGAGCGGGGGCTACTAAGCATTTATCGTGAGTCACATGTAGAAAAAAGGCTGCCTGCATTCTATGCTTGCCACTGCTTTCTAAGAATTAAGTTCCCATCATCCACTGCTCAATCAGATCAAACAGGGGCTAAGATGGCAGCTTCCTTGGCTGTAAAGGAGAGGAGGGTTTAGTTCCACTTTATAATGCAAAGTGGATTTTCAGTTGGAGCATAGTCCATGGCAGTTGAGATAGAAAAGAGGGTAAAGTCATTTTGGTGCATAAGGACCAGTGAGGGAACCAGGGACTGACAGCCCACAAAAAAAAAATATGCCACCCAAAAGGTGGTGTCTAAATGCTCTTTCTAAACTAGCTTGATGCAAATGTGTGTTATACAGATCTAATCTAGAGCTGTTAGCACTCAGCAGGCCCCATAGGCACCTCCATGCCAAATCTCCCTCAGTGTACACATCACAGGTGCCTAGAAAGCCCAGGTACACTTGAGTACATTAACTTCCTGGCATGATGGGTCAGTAGGCAGGCCTCACCCTTTTCCATCTCCATTAATATGATGAGTAGCCAGCAAGGCTACCACCATAGTAATGGATTAATTGTCATGCTTTGCGGGCAAAAAGGGGTGGGACCTTGATATCATCTCATGATGTGTATTTCAGAGTATGCGGTCATTCAGAGCACTTTTTCTGCCTGCCAAGATAGAGAGGTGCTTTTTGGGCTAGCTCATAACATTATAGGTACAAAAAGTAGCAAAGTAGTCCATGATTTGGTTAATTTTAGCCTATTTTGTTTCCTGGGTGACATTCAGCTTTAAATTTATATTAATTCTCTGGGCTGCTATAGTATACAGTATTGTTGAATTGTAACTTTTTCCAGATAGCAAATTGCGGCTCACAATTTTATACTGAACTACCAAACTGTGTAGGGATAACCTTTCTGCCTTCTTATCTCTTGTGTTCCTACTTTGTTGTAACTTGTGAAAGGCATGCATTTAGAATAAATAATACCCACCTGGAATTCAGGTAACGCACTTACCTGTTATAGTCAGTTGACTTTGCAGCATCATTCTTGTGATCAGTATTTTCTCAAACAATAATCTCATGAGCATGCTAGGTCTTCTTGTCATTGATTAAATATTAAATAAAAGACCCTTTAATATATGGGGCTAATTTACGTATAACAAGATGGTGATACAGCTTTGTTTCAGTATGAAGCATTTCATATTTTTATAGGCCAAAATATCAGCCAGTAAAAAATCCACATTTCCCTTACAATGGAAAAAATAAAACATGTCAAAGAACTGCATTCCCTGGCTATGGTATTTCAACCCATTGTATAAAAAGATATTAAAGCCTAAGGATTGGGCGGGGGGTACAAAAACTGGAACACACAGAATGTGGTGCAGCTGTGCATAGTAACCAATCAGCTTCTGGGATTTATTGTCAAAGCTTAATTGAACAAGCTGAAGTTAGAAGCTGATTGGTTGCTATGCACAACTACTAAGTGTAGCTAATATTAAAAACAGAAAATCAACATAAGGGACGTACCTCACAGTCATTAGGATGTGTCCCTTATGCTGTTTCCTCTTCTGTTAGTAGAAATGCTCCTCTGCCCATGCCCCCACCACAGCCTCCGTAATCGTCCAGTGTGGTGGGGGTTAGTAGAACCAAGGGGCTTCCGCAGGTTCTCATCACAGGAAGATTACAGTGCTGAACAGAGGAGGATTTCTAATTCCGGAATGGAATCAACACAATGGCCACATCCTACATACCGTATGTTATTTCCCTCCTGCTTATTTTTGTGTTTATTTTTGTTACACTTTGAGGGTCAGTTCTTTCCTTGAGCTCAGTGGTCATGGTTGTGTTCTCAATTTCCTCTCAGTTTTCAGTGGTCCCACTCATCATGTTGCAGAGAGTTGGATTCCTTTATAGTGACCTCTGTAGTTACAGTCATTGTGAAGCAATTTATCCTCAAATTTCACAACAGCAACAGGCAAGCCCTTCAATTTGGGTCACAGCAATTTTCTCTCATTTCTTTTCCTGTTCGCCTGCCCTGTTTACATTACAGAATAGAAGGCTGGCAGGGGTGAACTAAGCTATAAAAAAGAAAGTGAAAATAAAACTGAGAAACGTCCACTATAAAATTTGAGGATGAATTATGCCACAGTGCCTACAACTACAGAGGTCAATGAGCACTAGCTTTAAAGTTTATTAATTGCTTGTTAGGAATATGTAAATATCTGAATGCCCACAGCCTGGCCACAGTTCTACTTTGAGCTCTGAGAGAACATAAAATAAATGCTGATGGAGTCTGTGTTTGAATGGACATCAAGGACCAGGTAGTAATAGTGTTGTAAAATGCATTTCAACAAACAGTGGGCTTAGGAGGATATTATTTAAAACAAAGAACATAACAGAAATCTGTTCTCAAAGAAAACTTACCTGGTACAGCTACTCTTAAGATATTTGGGACCTAAAACACCTTGTTAACAGGGGGTGCCATCTTCATACTATTTGGCAACATTTTCCTTTTTTTAAAGAAACCAGGGAACACCAAAGACTTTGAGGGAAATTCAATAAAGCTGCTGCACCACTTCTGCTGCTAATTGTTCTTGATAATGTGTTCCTAATTAATAAAACATCTGAAACCGTTTTCACTCTGACGGCGACTTGTGTGCCAAATTCTTGAAGTTCTAGTTTGCACCACCTCTACATTGTGCACAAACCTACACCAAATTCAAAATAAAATACCAACAGTTCATATCTTATGAAAGAGGAGCTTGTTAGGATCAACTTGCTCATGGCGTACAGAGACAGATTTCTGCAAAAGCGTCTCATGCATTTGAAAAGTGAAAAGTGTACAGGTTCTAGATAGCTACATGAGCCTAGCTGTTAGATTAGACTCCCATAGGCAGTAAGAGCCAACTATGGTAAAATGTGAACCAAGATGAAGTAAAGTGAGCTTATGAGCACTTCCATTTCAAATTTTACTTTATCAAAACTAGATCAGGGTCACTGAACTTCACCAAACATAACATTATATTAAGTCAACTGCTAAGTGATTTCTCTCTTTTTTTCATTTTAAATTTAATTGATTTTATGTTATATGTCTACTTTGTTTCACTTTGTTACTGGAACTTGAATTTCTCTGACTTGATTGCTAAGCCACGCCGACTCCTACTGCGCTTTCCAATCAAACTACTGCAATGGCCAGTAAGGAGATTCTCAGTGGACAGTGGAACACCAGAAGGCATGGCTTAGCCTTGAAGTCAGAAAAGTCATGCCCCAGTAACAAAAGTTAGAAGGAGTACGTAATGGCATTTCTGATTAATACAGGTTACTTGAGCTGTTTCCTCTGTGGCAGGCCTTTTATTTTTAAAAGTTTAAAAAAAACAGTACAACTTTACTTTAACCATGTTTAGTTTTGTTGTAAACAAGTTTACCATGGAAGTTTCCTGGAAACTGAGCCCAACCACACAATTCCATGAGAAATGACCATATTTTGCCATTGATGATCTCTTACTGGACATAAAAGTAGAAGGTGGATGTAAAACTTTATGTTGCCTGAAAGTAGGGAAAGTCAAGTCTACTAACAGGGTGAAACCAATATCAGACAGGAACAGTGAAGTAGCTTCTCTGGCTAATGAAGAAGCTTTTCTGGCTAGTGAAGATAATGGCAGACATCTGGTTGTGCCTCTCCTTGTGTAAGACTTATACGTTCACATTTTTAAACTGGATGACAGGTTCACTTAAAGCTTGAGACCAGTGATAATATTTTTGTTTGTAAATTCACACAAACTTACCATTAACTGTACAGTGCAAGCACTGGTCTACAGGACTTAAAGCTGGAAAAAGACAACAAAGTCAGTAAATACTCACCTTTCTGGCTGCCCCATCGCTGAACTTAGCACCAAACTGAAGAAATTGTACGGTGACATCCACATGGAAACTGAGATTTCTAGGAGTGCCAGTCTCCTGAGTCCCCCGCAGCTCTCACAGGTTCCTCCTGCTGACCTCCATGTCACTACTATATTCCATGGGGTGGGACCCAGGAGCTTGAAACTACAAAAAGTGTCGGTTTCAGTGTGGACTTCATCAGAACATTTCTCAGGATGGTGACAGGGTCACTTTAAATCATTATGTAAAAGCAGCTAGTGTAAATACCGAATCTTTCTTCATGTCAACCTGTTGCAATTTCCTCACAGCAGCACCCAGACCAGGAGAATGAGTGGCAGTACATTTAGCCAATCAGATTTGATGCATGAACCAGTCCTGACAATGCACATGCGGGGTACGCCCAAACTGTATTGCTTACCTGAAGTAGAGAAAAGTCAGGTCATCAACTTGGCTCTACAGTATGGAAAGGCTATGTAATTCTCAAGACTGGTTGGACAAAATCATAAATCCATTGCCAGGAAAAACAGCTCCAAGATATGTTTTCCAATTGTTTAGTTAGTTTCCATGAGTTCAACTTTAAATTTCATAGCTAGATTGGTATATGACAGCTTTACACTTTGCATTTTTTGCATTTGCCATCGATTTACCAAAAACTGTGTGGTGGCTTTTAGGTAGACCTTCAAGGTGCATAGTTATTGGTGTTGCTTGGGAATTGTGCACTGAATTTACCATCAGACTGTAACATTGTAGCCATGGAAATTAACCAATTAAACATTACTGTGAGAAACCAGCTTGACGCTGTGCAGCACAGCCAGAAAACTACCGTTGGATTTAAAATCATTTGGATTCACTGCATTTTACCAATAATAACAATAGTGTTGGATGTTAACTGATTTCTGGAACCTTATACATACTTCTGCTGCACATATACATATAAAGATGAGTGTCATGTGATCCTAAAGTGCTTAGTACTAGAAATCAATCTATCTTTGGAGTATCTAAGACAGGGGTGCTCAACCTTTTGAAGAGTAAGGCTCACATAAGCAATTTGGTAAACGGTCGCGGGCCACATTGAAATGGTTCAGAATTTCACATTTCTTCATTTTGAATAGCACAATAAACATTTTCCTCCTGCAGCCACTGAATGTCGGCAAGAGGCAGAGGAGGAGAAGCTGGATTTCAGCGCAGGAGGAAAATGGAGAGGATAAGCACCTGCATATGCCGCCCCTCCTGTCCAAGTTTAAAACAGAATGTGACAGGGCCCCCTAGAGCATGGGGTTGAGTCGCTATGGGGTTTTACTGCCCCACACCACAAATGTAAAGAAGCCTCTACTGTCCTGAGCCCCCTATTAGGCTGCTTTCACACTGATTCGCTGCAGTTTACCTACACTGCTGGTGCAGCACAGTGCACCTGTGGCTTTCCTGAGTGCAGTGCAACTGCGGGTATCCTGAGGGTTAGCTGCACTTTGCCATAGACTTCTATTATATCTTGTGGGTGTGGTGCACTTTTTGAAAGCACACTGAAACTCCTGCATTTATGAGTTTTGGGGCACTTTCAGAAAGCACACCAAATCTGCACAATATAATAGAAGTCTATAGCTCAGTGCAGCTAACTCTCAGTAATCCTGCAGTTGCACTGCACTGCACCAATGTGTAAAAGCAGCCTCGTAGTTGTTAACCCTTTTATAGGTGCTAATATGCCCATTACAGAAACACAGTGTATGTGTTGTTTAATACAATGACCTTTTTTTCCTCTTCCGGCTTCTGCTGGCATCGCTCTCCAGGCTGCTAGAAAGTTCCCAGGCAAAATGCACTTGGCACAGGAGCCGGCGCTGCAGAGGAAGCAACGGCTTATGTAGCTCCTGCTCTCTCCATGGCTGCCTGCTTCCTACGCTGCTGGTGCTGGCTCAATGCATTCTGATGCTCTGGGATGGCTCCTCAGCAAGCCCAGATCAAGGTCAACTGGTGGCTAACCCCAAGCATATGTTTCCTTGGTTTGAGGTCGAGGGCCACATCAGAGGGCTCCAAGGGCCACAGATTGAGCACCCCTGATTTAGGACAATTTTTAATTGCTAAGTAGTATGAGATTGATCCTGTGATGACAGTCAACTCATTTGAAGCAGTCAAAGTTCAAGGATTTGAGTACCTATGTTGCAAATGTGAGATCATATGTTCACCTCCTAAAGTAACACTTTTATTAAACCATACTTAATCTCTTTTATTGTTAAACTGTATCAACTCAGAATTGCAACCAGTGGCATCTGTTTTTTCCCTCTTTCACACAAGCATAGTGAGGAGTGATAACTCATTTTTTCTTATCTTTGTGCACAGCTGAGCCAGCACAATATTGCACTGCATGGATCTCTCTTCATTGCTACATTTTGCTTTATGCTGCTCAACTTTAAAGTGTTACTAAACCCACAACAGTAAAATCAGTCTGTATATGCAGTAAAGCATGCTTGTTATACTCACTGTGGAACCTAAGGGGTTAATCCTCTGCATTGTGTAAAAAAGGCTGTTTGATCCTACCTTCTCTGATCCTCCCCTTCTTCCCGTGCCCCTCTCTTATCTCCTGATAAGACATATCGAGTGCACATGCTCAGTTTGGTGTGTATTGCTAGAGAGGTGTTTTTTTTTTTTCTTGGGAGAGTGCATGTGATCAGCACAAGGCCAAGCAGCACTGCCCAGACAGAGGTCAGGGGTCCTGCATCCTCATAAAACAGAATGAAACTCCTCCTACAAGCTTAGCATGTTCTCGGCTGGACACTGATAGAAGCCACAAGACTGCTATATACTGCCGATGAGAAAAGGTATTTAGCAGTTTATATTTACTAAAATAATTGCCTTTCCATGTTCTGTGTACTGTGGGAGACCAGATATAGTGAATGTAGGGTCCTGGGTTTAGTAACACTTTAAGAGACATTACAAGCAACAAATGTGTATTATAATTTTCCTGTGTTGGTTTTGCCTGCAAGGCAACCCACTCATTTGCCCATTTATGCCTACTGGATAACTTATGCCATTCAGAGTGGATACTTACTTTTAATTCTTACCCTGGTATGAGCTCCAACTCAGAGCCAACCAGGAATTCTGGGGCTCCAGTGGATAAACAGGCTAACGAGTCAGAGCTCAGATTGGATAACAGTGCTTGGACCTGGCAACTGGCCTTTCAAGTACTCAGCAGTGCATTGTGGAAACAATTAGGAGACAATTAAATATATGCAACTAAGACCTATGTTTTTCTGGTTTTGATGCAAATTGTTAATTGTTTTTTTTTTGTTGACTAACTGGTAAGTGTATATTTTGTCTTGCATGCTATGTGCAAAGTCTTTCCTTGTGCACCTTGCCCTAAAAGCTAGCTATAATTTGGGACAGTTGCCATTTTTGTTAAGACTACTGGATATAGCATGGGAACATTATGGAGGCTATCCGCTGCCATTGTGCTTTTCTGGACTTCTGGTGTGTCCCTGCACCTTTTAGGGAGAATGGGCTCCCTCCAGGCAATTATGCCCTTAAATTATCCATTGCAATATATATTCAAACATGGAGACTCTCATAGATTAGAGTTACAGTGTGGCTTCAACATATATTTGCAAATGTTGTGCAACTAAACCTGTTTATACACAAACTGCTAGACAGTGTAATTTGTTTTTTGCTGGCTAGATGGTAAGTGTTATGGTCAATAAATTTTTTTTAATTGCTTGAGACATGTGTGTTTCTTCATATCTGGAAATACCAAGTATTTTGTAGAGTTCTGCTGGGAAAACAAGGCTGCTGAGAAGCACAAAGAAGGTAGGTTTGGAATGGGTGGGCTATCCTGAATGTGCAAAGTACATGTAGAAGGATGAAGAGCATTTTGTACACCATAGAGCAAACAGTGCATTTTTACATCCACAGTGGAAATGTACTTTCTGCCCTACCACTGTAGTGCCCTATGCTGGCATAAACGATTTGTTGGCAAAATGAGTACTTGTCATCTCCCGAACTATAAATGTCCTCACACAGGCTTATAGTGCTGAGAAAGAGAGGGTTTTTTTCTGACCATTTGCACTTCACAGTCATATGTATACACCCTGAGCATCTTCTGTAACAAGAAAGTAGAGGTAGGAATGAGTAAATGGAGCCTATTAGTTCAATGTCTATCTAAAATCTATTTCTGTTATTTAATTTGAGATATACTGTATATTTTAAAAAATACCTAGCAAACCTATCTCAATATAAAGGTGCAGCGCTAAATACTAAATATACAGCATGAATCTCGTCAATAGATTAAAAGAAAATGAGAAAATGCAATCTCTTTAAAATAGTGCAACATGAGAAAGTTAATAACATGTGCTCAGTACATAGGTATAGATTTCCAGCAATATTAGATCATTTGTGGGAATAAACCAATATAAACCAATATAAAATGTACAAATAAATAAAGAAATAAAATTTGTGCATAAATGATATCACCAATCAGTGAATAAAGTCCCAGATGTATTGCCCACGTGAGGATCCTGAATGATCCCGATAAGCGTGCGTGGAGGGTTACTTCCAGTGGCAGGTGTTGAATATGAAAGAAATGCGCACTCACCAGAAGTGCGTGTATAAACGCATTTGAGATATAACCTATCTCAATAGGTATGATTCAGGTCATCCACCTCCCAGATCAGGTCAGGCCAGGTCAGGATACTCCCAGTCACATCTGCATGCAGCACTCAGGGATCCTTGATGCGTATCACCTTAGGGGCTCACCCATAGTGCGGTCTCTGTGAATGCCCCTCACAAAATAGGGACCAATAAAGGAGACCACATAGTGTGATACCGTAGGGAACTTTATTCCATCAAATGAGAAGTGCAAATGACAAAAAAAAGGAAACAAAACACTGACCATGTAATAGGGATTTCAGGATGGCCACCTGCGGTGGCTAGATGTCCAGTTGCTGTAGCCCCCCTGACCCTATGACTACGTGCATCGCACGAAACGTGTCAGCGGGGCTACAGCAACTGGACGTCTAGCCACCGCAGGTGGCCATCCTGAAATCCCTATTACATGGTCAGTGTTTTGTTTGCTTTTTTTTGTCATTTGCACTTCTCATTTGATGGAATAAAGTTCCCTACGGTATCACATTATGTGGTCTCCTTTGATGGTCCCTATTTTGTGAGGGGCATTCACAGAGACCGCACTATGGGTGAGCCCCTAAGGTGATACGCATCAAGGATCCCTGAGTGCTGCATGCAGATGTGACTGGGAGTATCCTGACCTGGCCTGACCTGATCTGGGAGGTGGATGACCTGAATCATACCTATTGAGATAGGTTATATCTCAAAATGCATTTATACACGCACTTCTGGTGAGTGCGCATTTCTTTCATATTGAACACCTGCCACTGGAAGTAACCCTCCACGCACGCTTATCGGGATCATTCAGGATCCTCACGTGGGCAATACATCTGGGACTTTTTTGCACTTTATTCACCGATTGGTGACATCATTTATGCACAAATTTTATTTATTTATTTGTACATTTTATATTGGTTTATATTGGTTTATTCCCGCGAACGATCTAATATTGCTGGAAATCTATACCTATGTACTGAGCACATGTTATTAACTTTCTCATGTTGCACTTTTTTAAAGAGATTGCATTTTCTCATTTTCTTTTAATCTATTGACGAGATTCATGCTGTATATTTAGTATTTAGCGCTGCACCTTTATATTGAGATTTACATTGGAAGGTTCTGTTTGGTTACCTTTTTTGGTGTTTCAGCGGCTATTTTTCTTTTGGATAGCGCTCGCATATTCACTTTTTACATACCTAGCAAACCTATACCTGCAGCACACAGCTAATATGCAGAGGCATGAAAAGGTGTTACCAGTGGGGGGCCTGTTTCTCAACAAGTTACACTCATCCTGTACTTATAGGTACATTAATACTCTTTCAAACCACACATACATTCACTCTAAATTGTATACAGAAGCTGCTTTGCCCCATCAAAGAAAGAAATCACGTCCTTTTTATATTAATTCAAAGAAAAAAAAATAAAACAAAGGAGATATGCAAGAAGCAAGGAGATGCTGATGAGAGCGACTCTTCCCCCATCACATCTAGAAAACAAGCCAAACTATGATGCTTCTGTTGTTTGACCAAACATAGTCTCGCTTAGCACTTTTTGACATCAGAGTTAAAACAAATACAGCTTTTTTGTGGAGAAAAAATATCCAGGTATCAAAGAGGAAAAACGGAATGAAACACCTGAAGGGATTACATGTGGAATCCACTCTTGGAATTAAAAACCAAGCTTGGTTCCACACCTCTGTTTTTAAGAAAGTGTAATAAAAATACAAATTACGACTGAACACGCAACATCTCCATTGCTGATTTGTTGTGTCCGGCTCCCCACCGAGTCTCATCTTGTAGTCACTGAGCAAACAGGCTCCTCTGTGTAAGAAGAAACGTTTTGCTGCAATGCCCTTGTGAATTTTCAAGGTCAATTCCAGTAGTTGCAAGGCCCTTTGAGTCAAATGGCTGCGAAGCTCCTCAGAACTTTGAGGAATTATTAAGAAAATTATGTTTCCACTCCAAAATGGCAACATACACTTCTGCAGAGGTTCAAAGTATAGTATCTGTCTTCTTCACACAATAAAACAGGAACTCATAAAATATTCAAAAAATTAAATAATGGAAACATGATAATTCAAAACACTAACTTTTAGAAAGATACCTTTTTTAAGGGCATCACTGCCCTCTTGTAGGTGGGTAAGACTTGAGTTTTGAAAACAAAACATTGGTTGAAATGTATGGCATTAGGTGTGTAACTATATCTCCACAACATCTGCTGACATGAACCCAGGCACAGTTCTTGGTGTATCTATCGAAGTCCAGTCCTTTCATAAATTTTGAAAGTGGTTACGCTGATGATATTTCCACAACTGCTGGCAAATCTTATGTTGTTTTTTATAAGATGTATAAATGTATTGACATTCTTATTTAACCACCTTACAACACTTGGCAGCTTATACAAGACTGTAAACGCTTAAAGCAATACATTTCATGTCTAGATGTTTGTAGACATTACAGTAAAAGTTCAATAGACCTACATGACTCGTTCCTGTACTCAGATCTGTTGGGGATTCTTGATAATATTATGTCTTGAAACACAATCATAAACCATTTACTCTTGCAAAGTGATATCAAGTTCTAGTGGTTGTGCATTGTTGAAATTACTGATGCTATTCTGTAGAGTCGTTCATGGCTTACACTTGTAACCACATTCGTAAACAAGATATCTCATGGCATTCATCCTTACCAGTCTTTAATAATGCTGTCCTGTTGTCTCTTTTGTTGTAATCTTGCACCATAGGTCTTATAATGTTGAATATTTCTTTATTCTTTTGCTTTCCATTTGCTATGTACAGCTTTTAGTTTGTTTCTAGTTCAACTCTTTCTCTTTTTTATAATGCCTTTTGTAGCTCGAAGATGACAGTATGCACCTCAACCTTATCTTTCTGGGCTGTTCATTTGAAAGACACTCTGGTTCTTGTTTCTTCAAATCCTGATGGGAATGCCAGCAGATAGTGTGCCCAAGTTTGTTCAGAAAGCTAACACAGGAAAGGATTAAAAAAATGGTAACATGTTTCCCTAAAATAATTGAATATACTAAGAGTTGATGAGCTGAATCATTGTGGGATCAGAGTCTATTGAAAAACATTCAAATGTCCAGCCCACAGGGTAGGATCTCCGTTCTTCCCAATATCAGCTCTTTATTGCAGTTTATTGATGTGTAAGTTTGCCACATGTGGCAAAAATGGACAAAGAAAACTAAAGAACAAAAAATAAATCTTTGAGTGACTTGCGAAAAGTCCATAAAATGTGTCCTTTCTGTTTTTGGCACTGGAACGGGGGGAAGGTCATGA